TCCATTCATTCTCTCTTCCTCTTTCTCTTTCTCTCTCTCTCTCTCTCTCTCTTTCAAAAAAAAAAACACACTGGTGAATCTAAATATATCTTTAATGGGCCCATTGCTAGACTGGAAATGACTGAGGAAAGACTCTCTGAGCTGGAAAATACAATAGAAACTTCCCAAACTGACAAGCAAAGAGGAAAAAAAATCTATACAATAACTATGGGGCAACTACAAATAGTGTAATGTGTAATGGGAATATCAGAGGGAGAATTAAAGAAAGAGCAAGAAAATATTTGAAGCAATAATGACTTAGAATTTTCCCCCAAATTAATGCCAAAATACAGATGCAGGAAACTCAGAAAATACTAAGCAGGATAAATGCAAAAAAAAAAAAAAAATGCCCAGGGATTAAGAAAAAGTTTGGATTGGGTGTAGTAGCATGCATCTGTTGTCCTGGCTACTTGAGAGGCTGAAGTGGGAGGATCACTTTAGCCAGGAATTTGAGACCTGAGCAATATAGTGAGACCCCATTTAGAAGAAGGAGGAGAAGAAGGAATAGATGAAGAAGAGGAGGGATAAAAGGGGAGGTAGAGGAGGAGAAGGGGGAGAGAGAGGAGGAGAAGGAAGAAGAAAGAAATTTCAAAGAAGTAGAAAGAATAAGAATTACATCTATTTTTTAAAAGAAACCATTAAAGAAAGAAGAGAGTGGCATGAAATAAAGTGCAGAGAGAGAGAGAGAGAGAGAGAGAGAGAGAGAAAGAAACTCTACTAACTCAGAATTCTGTAACCAGTGAAATTATCCTTTGAAAGTGAACAAGAAATATTTTACCTAACAAAAATTGAAGGGTCTTTGTTGTGAGGATGCCTGCCTTAGGATAGATATGAAAAGTTCTTCAGAGGAAAGGAATGTGGTATTGGTCAGAAACTTGGACCTACATAAAGAAAGGAAGAGCATTAAATAAGGAATAAGCAAAGGTAAAATAAAAGCTTCTTAAAAAAAATTGATGGATGAACCAGATGGCATTTTGTTCAAAATAATATATTGATCTATTTATTATCATCGCTATGTATAAGTGAAATAAATGACAGGAATACAGACAAAAAGAAGACTTAGGAACACGTGGCTATTGTAAAGCACTTGCAGTGTCTGTGAAGCAGGAGAGTGTTATTTGAAAGTGGACTTGGATTAGTAGCTGAATATATAGCACACATTCCAGGGCAATTTAAAGCAATTTTTTTAAGTATTGTTGATATAAAAAAGGAAAGAAAATGGAATCATACAAAATATTCAATGAAAACCACAAAAGGCAGAAAAAGTGGAAGACAAAACTAGGAACAAAGAACAATGGCAACAAATAGACAGTAATAATAAATAGGCTAAATATTAATTCAGCTATTCCAATAATTACTGTAAATGTTAGTAATCTAAATGCACCAATGAAAAGACTGAGATTGTCAGAATGAATCAAAAAACAAGACTAGGGATGTGACTCAGGGGTATAATGTTTGCCTGGCATGCATGAGGCCCTGGGCTTGATTCCTGCCACTTAAAAAAAAAAAAAAGATTATATGGACACATATAGATTAAAAATAAAGGAATGAAGAAAGATACACCATGCTGAAAAATATACCATGCTAACATTAATCAGAAGAAAGTTGGAGCGGTAGAACACTTGCCTAGCACATACAATGTCCTGGGTTCTATCCCCAGAGATGGGGGTAGGGATGGAGTGTGGGAGGGGGGGTGGAGAATGAGGAGGAGGAGGAGGAGGAGGAAGAGCAAGGCTGGGGTAGGAGTATCAGGGAGGAGTAGCTGTATTAATTTCAGACAAAGGAGGCTTCAGGGAAAGAAAATTTATCAATTATAAAAGGCCACATTACTAAAAAATAAATTTAAAAAAATGGACATCATTACATGATGATAAAGGGGTCATCTCTCCAAGATGACATAACAATCTTTAATGTGTATGTCCCCAACAACAGAGTATCGAAATACGTGAGGCAGAAACTGAAAGAACTATAAGGAGATATAGATGAATCCACTATTATAGTTGGAGACTTCAACTTCCTCTGTCAGAAATAGATCCAGCAGGCAGAAAATCAGTAAGGACATAGCTGAATTCAACAGCACCATCAATCAAGTAGACATCTAAAGACTACTTTATCCAACAATAGCATAATAGACATTTCACTCAAACTCACATGGACCAGTCACCAAAATAGACCACATTCTGGGCCATAAAATACACCTAACACATTTCAAAGAATATAAACCACAGTGTCTGCTTTCAGACCACAACGGAATTGAAAGATAGTTGGAAAATCCACAAGGACTTGGAGATTAAACCACCCACTTGTAAATAAAACATGAGTTAAAAGAAGAAATTTCAAGAGTAATTAGAAAATGTTTGAAACTAAGGGCTGGGGATGTAGTTTAGTGGCAGAGTATTCATATAGCCTGTGCAAGACTGAGGTTCAATCAAAAAGAGGCAAAAAAAAAGGTAAGAAAAAGAAAATAAAGAAAGAAAAAAAAAGAAAAGAAAGAAATTTGAAACTAAATAAAAATGAAAACAAAACATCAAAATTTGTGGCATGCAGTGAAAGCTTGTGCAGAGGGATATTATAGCACTGAATGCATATATTAGAAAAGAAAAATGATCTGAAATCAAGAATTTAAGCTTTTGCTTTAGGAGACTAGAGAAAGCACAACAAATTAACTGCAAGGTAAGCAAAATGCAGCAGGTCCCATAGAAAAATGGGTAGTTTGTCAATGCGCAATTTGTAAGAGTGGTAATCAAAGAGGAATATGAGGAAAATTATTAACAATTAAAAAATAAGTAAGCAGATAATTTCTGATTAAAACAACAATGAAATATCACCTTACACTTATTAGACTGGACAAAGTTGGAAGGCTGGGAAATGCCAGCTGTTGGCAGTTGTTTGGAGACATAGGCTCCTTCACAGGCTGCTGGTGGGGATACAGGATGGCCAACCATAGAGGAGAGCCTCCTGGCACACTGGATATATGCACAGCCTAGACCACTCCTGTGTATATGTACCAAATAAATGACCATACGGTGGGGTGTGGATTAGAATGTCCACTGCTGTGCTCCATTCCTGGACAATCAATCAACTGTTCATCTTCTCCTAGGAGTAGATGGCTAGAACATGGATGGATACTATGTAGTCCTTGGAGGCAAGAATACTTACTATGTAGTCCTGGAGGCAAGCGATTAGACATTGTCTTAATCCATTCTGTGCAGAATAATTGGAACTCATAAATTTCTGATGGTAATGCAAAATAGTACACCAGACGAATACTGTTTGGCCATTTGTTACAAAGTTAAATGTACACTATGGGCTTACCTCATGATGTTAATTTGCAATTCCTTATTGACAGATGATATTGAGCATCTTTTTATATGCTCATTTGGCATTTGATTGTACTCTTTGGTCTGTTCACCATATTTGCCCATTTTTAAGTTGGGCTATGCTATGATTTGAATGTGTCCCCCAAAAGTTCATCTGTTAGAAAGAAAAAAAATCTGTGTTAATGGCATTTGGATATGGGGGCTTTGGGGGGTAATTAGCATTAGATGAGTCATGAGAGTAGCTCTATGATGGCAGTAGTGGATTTATAAGAAGAGGAAAAGAGACTCGATCTAGCACACTTGCTCTTGTCTTGCCACGTGATGCCCTCTGCCAGGTTGTGATGTAGCACAAAAGCCCTCACCAGATCAAGCAGATCCTGGAGCTGTGCTTGCAGAAGTCCCAGCCTCCACAACTGTGAGCCAAATAAACCTCTACTATACATAGATCATCCTGTCTGGAGCTGGGCACAATGGCACACACCTGTAATCCCAGCTACTCAGGAGACTGAGACAGGATGATCAAAAATCGAGGCCAACCTCGCCAATTTAGTGAGATCCTGTCTCAAAATAAAAAGGGCCGAGGATGTAGCTCAGTGGCACAGCACCCCTGGGTTTAATCCTCAGTACCGAGTGGGAGAGACCCATCTGTAATATTCAGTCACAGGAACAGAAAATGGATTAAGATAGGTTGTTTGTTATTGTTTAGTTTTAAGAATTCTTTGAATATTTTGGATACAAGTACTTTATCAGATAGGTGTTTTGTAAATATCTTCTCCATTCTGTGACTTTCTCATTCTCTTAATATGCCTTTTGTAGAGCAGTTTTTAATTGTAATAAAGTCCAACATCAATTTTTTCTTTTATTAATCATACTTTTGTTGTCATATCTAAATATTCATAGCCAAACTCAAGGTCAGCTAGATCTTATCCTGTTTTTTTTTTTTTTTTTTCTAGAAGTTTTATAGTTTGGCCTCTTACATTTAGGCCTAAGATCCTTTTTTTTTTTTTTTTTTTTTTTTTTTGAGGCATAAACAGTCTTTATTGGGCTCAGACCAGGAGTCCATTGGTCCTGAGGACCTCTGTGAACTTGTTAATTTTCTTCTCCACATTCTTTTCTGCCTGTTTTCGTAGCCTCATAAGCTGTTTTTTCTTCCGGTGATGGCTCTTGGCTTTCTCCTTTCTCTTCTCCTCCAGGGTGGCTGTCACTGCCTGGTACTTCCAGCCGACCTCGTGAGCCAGGCGCCCCAGGTAGGCAAACTTTCTTGTTGGCTTCAGTCGCACAACCTTCAGGGCAGCAGGAACCACCATCCGCTTTTTCTTGTCGCAGGGTGGTGGAACCCCATCAAACACCTTGAGGCGGTCCAGGGCAGCCTGGCCTCGCTTGGTCTTGTGGGGCAGCAAGCCTCGCACAGCCCTCCAGAAGATGAGACTGGGGGCCGGGAAGTGGTACGGCCCGGGATGGGTTGGTATTCATCCTCTTGCAGAGGAAGGCCAGGTACTTCAACTTGTTTCTGTAGAAATTTCCAGAAATGTTGATGCCCTCACAGCGCACAACCACCACCTTGCGGCCCAGCAGTATGAGTTTGGCCACAGTGGCCGCCAGGCGGCCCAGGAGATGGCCTTGGCCATCCAGCACTAGGACCTGCCCCTCCGCCATCTTCAGCAGCCGCCTGGGAAAGCCCTAAGATCCATTTTTGAGTTAATTTTCATAAAAGGTAGAGTCTATATTTAGATTCTTTTCTGTTTGTTTTTGCACATGGACATCCAATTATTCCAAAATAATCTGTTGGGGAAAAAAAAAAAAAAAGATCTTTTCCCACTGAATTGCTTTTGCTCCTTTGTTAAAAACTAGGTGACTATTACTGAAAGTAAAGTAAATTATACCTCAAAAAAATTAACAGCCCTGGGGGCAGTGCTCAGTGGCAGGGTATTTATCTAGCATGAGTGAGGCCTTAGGTTCAATCCCCAGCACTGCAAAAAGAATAATAATAATAATAATAATAATAATAATAAACACAAGCACATGAAATAAAAATACATATTTTCCAAAAATAGAAACTGAAGTATGTACTGTAAACACAGTAGTGATCACCAAGATGAAGGGGAGGGTGTGTAATGGATGGAAAACAGTGAAGGAATGCATATATAGTGAAGGCCTATACAAACTAATGAGGATGATTTTGAGAGAGGGATGGTTGCCAGTACATTGTTCTTTCCCTCAACAGACACTGTGCAACCTGGCTAGAAACCATTTTCCAGTTCCTGTTGCTACCCGTGTGACCAGGTTCTCAACAATGAGATATGAGCAGAAGTGATTGTATAATTGCCTTATAATTTTCTTCTTTGGGGGGAGGTACTAGGGATTGAACTCAGGGGCTCTTGGCCATTGAGCTACATCCCTAGCCCTATTTTGTATTTTATTGAGAGACAGGGTCTCACTAAGTTGCTTAGAGCCTCGTTTTTGCTGAGGCTGGCTTTGAACTTTTGATCCTCCTGCCTCAGCCTCCAGAGCTGCTGAGATTACAGGCGTGTGCCTACCATTTTCTTGATGACTTGCTCCTATGCTATCCTCCTTGCCTCCTGCTCATCATAAATAATCACATGTGCAGCAGCCCGAAAGCCCACAAACCGAGGGTAGCAGAGCTTGCTCATCTGGGTCCCTGCATGACTCTAAAGGGGTACCAAGGAAATGAGGTCCTTCTCCCTAGCAGGTGGGCCTCTGTATCAGCCCTGTGGGAACTGCCAAAGCAGGGATAAGGAAGGGCTAAATGAGATCAAGAACTGTTCTGTCCTGGAAAAATCGACCTTCCCCACTTAATCCTTTCATTATCTTCACTCTTTTTCTGTTTTGTATTTGTTTTTTTGTTTGTTTGTTTGTTTGTTTTGCAGTAATGGGAACTGAACTTAGGGATGCTCTCACTGAGTTCCATTTCAGCCCTTTTTTAGTTCATATTTCAGTTCATATTCAGGGTCTCCTTAAATTTTGGAGGATAGTCTTGAACTTGTGATCCTCCTTCCTCAGCCTCCCAAGTAGTTGGGAACTAGACTACAAGATCTTCACCCTCAAGGGCTCTGACAATAGTTCTTGGCTTTGTATCCTGAAAGCACACCAATCTATTCTAAAACCATCTGCATAGGCATTGTGACCAAAGGATATGAATCCACGTTCTGGTTATGTTGTAAAAGATAAAAGTGATTGGCAAACTTTTATTCACCCCCTCCTTCACTACATGCACACATCACACACACTGGATTCCAGGGCACTCCAATGACAGGAGGCAGTCCCAAAGGGTCAAGAGGATCAGTTGGTAGGTTTTGCTAATACAGATAGGTCCATACTTAAACCATTGTATTCTGGCATTCTACTAGAAGTTATTTACACACACACACACACACACACACAAAATAGTAAGTACTACAGTTACGTGGATAATACACATGAAGTTTTACATTTTGTGTTCTTTTGAATGCTTTTGCATAATTTTGTTTTGACTATGTCATATCATAAGAGGTAGATGATTGATGTTTTTTAAAACCTGAACTGTGTGTCTTTGTCTTTTAATAGAGGACTTAAACTTCTTTATGAGTATTGTTTCCATACATGCATTTTGTTTTGACTGTGTACCTTATGATTCTTGCCTGCTTGTGGTTCTATTGCTTGCTGTTTCCTTTTTTTGTTTTGTTTTGTTTTTTTTTGCTGTCTTTCGTTACCACAGACTACATTTAGATTGCTTTTTCTTCTGTGATTTGGGACATGGATATCCTACTAGAATTTTAACAATGCATATTTTTATTTCAATAAGACCAACCATCTTTATTATTAAGCCTATTCAGGCAATCTATAACCTAAAAAAAAAATCAGTTATTCCTCTAAGACATGTATTTCTTTGATATATGTTTCTTAGTAAGTCACTTGCACTTCCAACAGAAGTTTTACTTGCTTTGCTTAGAAATAACATTGTAAAGCCAGGCACCATGCCTCATGCTGGTAATCTTAGTGAGTTGAGAAGGCAGGAGGATTGCAAGTTTGAGGCCAACCTGGACAACTTACTGAGACCCTATCTCAAAATAAAAAATAAAAGTGTCTGGGACTGAGGCTCAGAGATAAAGCACCATTGGTACAACAAAAGCACCAAATAGAAACAGCACCTTGGGCTGGGGATGTGACTCAAGCGGCAGCGCGCTCGCCTGGCATGCGTGCGGCCTGGGTTAGATCCTCAGCACCACATACCAACAAAGATGTTGTGTCCACCAAGAACTTAAAAATAAATATTAAAAATTCTTTCTCTCTCTCCTCTCTCAGTATCTCTTAAAAAAAAAAAAGAAACAGCACCTTAAGAATCTTGGTCTTGATGCTGAGTAAATATGTAATTTGTCACAAATACTTTTACTTAGAAAGTCCAGCTTTGAGTATTGTTTCCATACATGTATTAGTATCCACTTTGAATTGCTTGCTGATCTTATAATTTTATTAGAACTTATTGATAATGTGGTGGTTTTCTGTTCTTGGC